GAGCACCACAGTAGTGGTGGTGATGCCTTCACAGTGGTGGTAGCGCCTTCACAGCAACGGCGATGGTGTTTGTATTTTCGTGAGAGGAGAGGAAACGAGGGATAGAGAGAGAAGGTATGAGAAATTAATTAGGGTTTGTGATGAAATTTGTATTATAATATTTTTGATACCTGATTTTTGAATTGGGAACTTTATCCCTGATTTTTGAATTGTATTCTTAAAAGACCTGGATTTATGTAATTTTCCCCTAATTTAATTGGTGTTGCTCATGGCCGTACCAACCCAAACTTGGATGGCTTTTATGTGTTGGCAGCCCATCTATTATTTCTCATTGGGCCTAACCCTAAAAACCTACATCCAATCCCTATTTATGTGTACCCGTTACTGTTGCAAAAAGAGGGAAAATTAATAACCTTATTTCGAGAGATAAAACGGCAGTCGGCTTTTGCTTTGTGCTCTCTAGCCTAGCTTTGTGCTTACCTTTTTTGGGTGCTTCCGTTCCTTTACTTCCCAGCCTTTGTGGCTAATTCCTATGGTTATTATATCCTCCATTTTCGGTCCTTGGTGGACAGAAACAGTTTGAGAAGCAACCGTGTGGGTGGCGTTGGTTTGTGAATTGGTTTGTCGATTGTGGTGATCGTTTGGTGTCGACTGAGACTGGGAAATTCAAGATTGGAGCACAATACCCCAACAATATCTCAAGTTTAATATACTCTACCTTCCCCCTTTAGCAGGTATCCCAGCAGCAATTCCAACTCCAAGAACAATGGATGGCAGATGGAGATTCGATTGCTTTTTGCTTTGCATAATTTCCACTTCAACTTAACATCGTCAGGGTTCCATAAACTCAAGTGCACTGCCAGTGTCATATTCATATCAGAATCAAAGGGCGTCCGAATTAAATCCAAACACACAGAACAAGAAACCTTCGAATGTTCTCCATCTTTCTTTATATTAACTCTCCTGGGCACTGCTATTGCTTTATCCCGCAAAGTAGTCTGAGGAGTGGGCCGAGAAAACTGAAGGAAAATTTGATAACCAGATTAACTACTCAGCCAATAATTTTTTGATGCAACAACTACAAAATCACGTTGGGACTCAAATCAAACAAGCAACAAAAACTAGAGCAGAAAACTAGTTCACCTTTATCAGATTACAAAACTGCATCCATTTTAATCTGAGAAGCCTCTTCATGTTCATTTTTCCCGTCTTACTGGACTAGAAAGTAGCTCTCGACCCTACTCATAAGTTTATACGGAAGCATTACACTCAGTAAGTTAATACTCAGAATTTGATACAAATTTGCTTTTGAAACCCAGAGGTCAGATATCCATTTCGACCTTACATTCTTCTTAAATAGATTCTTGTAAAGCAAGACACAGATTACACAATTGCAAATCAAATGACAGATTTTTATAGATATACAGAGGTCAATAAATGAGTAAAGCAAATGGTAAAAATCCCAATTGGCAGAAAATAAGCACCATTATCAAATTTAACTATCAAACTTGGGAATTTAGGTTGTAATATAATTGCTAATTCACTCATTTATCTCCAAATTTCCTATAGAAACACAAATTTTCTAAAATCAACAAAAGTTGGATCGAACCTGTAGTCGTTAACTACATACAAGCAATTAATCAAAACAATGTGATAAAGGGCAATCCATGAATTATGATCAAAGTAAAAAATAAAAATAAAAAAATTTATAGAATCGAGAAGTTTGTACTAACTATAACTAATCAAATTTAGTTCACCTAAATTAAGCAAAATTCATGTAGTGGGTTTTGCACATACTATATTTTACGACTTACAGACAGAAAGATACGAAGAAAGGCGTGAAAGGAATACCTTTAGTCGACAGAAGCAGCGGAATGATGTCACTGATGGGATTTACAGCTATGGCTTCTCCTCCACGACTCCCAAAACTGAAGTTGATTCAGCTAGTAATTCAAATGAATCTGGGAACCAAATCAAAAGAAGAAATGGGGAAGGGATAAATGACAAAATATAAGAACAGAGGATGATGATTTTTAAGCAAACACGAGGAGAGAAAAACAGATAATTTTCATTCACACCATAACATGAGGCTACACGGCTGATTGATGGTATATATGCCATACTTGGATACAATTCAAAAATCTTTTCTACCAACAACTATCCTACCTACTACCACTAAACAATACTTGAAAATACATTAACTTGTAGTAGGTTCA